TTAATATGACTAAACATATTAAATATTAAATAAAATAACATAAAAAAAAACTTCTTAAACTTAATTCTTATGCTAAATTCTCAAAAATACCCTCATAATTATTTTTTAATAATATTATCTAGTATATAACTTATAAATTATGTCTCTATTTAAATAAATTTTTTTAATTAACATTGTATATCTGGTTGTATATATTTCTATGTTAATTTATTGCATTTCTGCTCTCACTACAATACCCCAAAATTCATTTTAAAATAAATAATTCGTTTTATTATTTTTTTAAAATTAATTTTCCTATCCATACACATTTGTAAATATATTAATTAATATAATTCAATAATTTTTTTATCTAAATTTCCCTCATACTGCGCCTATGTAATCTATGTTCCATGTCAAATGTCAAATTGTCATGTCAAATGACAAAGATCATATGTTTATTTAACTAATAAGTTTCTACACAATGTTTGTTTATTAATAGACTAGCTTTAGGAAATAATTCTTTCTTTTGGTTCAAAAGACTTTTTTTAGTATTAATGGTAAGTTTTTACTTTTCATTTGTCAGTATATAAATATTTACAAAATTAATCTTTTGGAGATATATAACCCCAATTCAAATTATATTATAAATTATTGTAAATTATATGATAGTGATTTTATACTTAACTCTAATTATAATTATGGTTTTTAGAACCGAAACAAAAGGACAAATTCAATAGCTGCTCAAGACATGATGTCAAATTACCAATTGGGTAATTATTTACATTAGTGAGGATAGTCGGATTAGTCTGAAATTTGGACAGTGGATTATGTTTTATTTTTTATTCACTTTTCAATCTATACATTTTTTTACGCTGATTCATAGTTTTTCTGTAATTCGCATTTAAAAAACTGATATTTTGACATAAATTTGGAGATGCCGCCGCCATTACAGCTGCTGTCAATGATGTGCGTGTGCGTAGTACATACTTCTTGATCCAATGTTGCCACACTTATCAAATATATTGTTTATTGTGAAAATATTAATTCTCAAGTACAATCATAAAGGAATAATGATAATGAGTATTATTTCAATTTTCTGTTTCTAAGGGATTCATATATCTGTATTTCATTTGTTATTAACTTATGTTATTACATATAGATTATAGTTTTATGGTTTCGTTTTATAGATTTTATAGATTTCGTTTTATGGTGTATTAGGTTCTAATTTGTTTTTTTTATTGGTACACCATTTTGCATATGTTAAGTACGCCGTAAATAATATATGAATAAAATGTTACCACAGAATAAATAACAATTAGAATGCCCACCCTCAGATGCCGCCTTTGAAGTTTGTCAGCACGCGAACGCCATGTTTTAGACGGAAACACAGACTCTGATTGAGCAATTCGTGACAAGCGACGACAGAACTGTCATTTAAAATTTGTAGATTAATAATTTAGTACATTTGAAATAATTTAATATACTCTTCAACTAAAAGTACGAATGAAATATTGCATGTTATGTCTGTATTGTCTGTAGTTGCGGTAAATAAATTAAACGGGGTTAATTTGTCTACGCACACCCGATAAAATGTCACTGAACAGCACCGGTTCCGACTAAAACATGGCTGATTCCGTGTGCGCGAACGAGATGCGCATACTTATTTTTTCAAGCAGAGTGTACATTCTGATTGTTTATCATTCTGTGATATTACTAACAAATATTTCAAAATCTCAATCTTTAAATTTATATCCACCGACATATTAGCACTATCGGTAGGTAACAACTTATATGGACATATATATTCTTATTAAAACTTAAATTCAATATATTTACACCGCAAAAAAAACAATATTAAATCATATGTGGTACAATTTTAAAAAAACAATATTAACTCATATGTAGTATACTCTTATTAAAACTTAAATTCAATATACTTACTCTGAAAAAAAAAAACAATATTAAGTCATATGTCGTATACTCTTATTTAAATTTAAATTCAATACTATATTTACTCCGAAAAAAAACAAATGTATATGTGGCAACATTGCACCTCCGCGGAATATTTTATATTGTGCGCAAACGCGTTTAACTTAATATTGTTCTAAAGCTATTTTCTTGTGGCATTGTAAAATTAATTACTATTAAAACTGGGAATAAGATTTCCGAAGTGGAAATTTAAACGTCAATAAGCGTTTAACTTGTTTTTCCAAATAAATAAATTTTGGACATTTTACAATATTTTATATTTTTGGATAATTTAACGGGGAAAATGATAGGTATTTTTAATTAATTTATAAATTTTATATAACTATTACGGCTATTTCGTATTTCGATAATATTTTTCTCTTGCTAATTTTTAATTTCATATACTTTTTATGAACTTTTTTCATTTTTTGTATATTTCCGTAGACGTAAACATGCAAATGTAGTCTTTTTTTCTATTTTTCAGGCTAAGTCCACCAAAAATTCGCATTTTTAGGGACCCTCACTAATGTAAACAAATACCAAAAATTTAAATTTGGCGCATTCGCTTTTCCGGATATGTCCGCCATCAGAGGCCACTTTTTTGGTCTCCTTTTCATAATGATTAGATTCCCTCTTTTGTCTTTTTGCTCGATGATCATAGCACAATCGAAACAAAATAACAATCGAACGAGATGCCCGTATTCGCGATAGCCATTTCCGACAGGGGGCGCTGAAGATTTTAAAGAAAAAGATGGATGATAACTTCGGGAAAACAAATCATTTTGTCATTATCATTTTGTTCCATTGCCCTAAAATTCAATTTAGCCCGAATTTTATAGTGGTTTTTTACTTTTTGGGTGTAAAATTATTTGGATATGTACATAAAAATCAAGGTAATCAAATGGAAGTAAAAACAAGAATTTAGCGGGAAAACGTGTAAACTAGAAATAGAGTATAATGAATTGGATTGCTTTAAATGTGAAATTCGGGAGGAATCCAATACGCAAAGTACACATAACACATATGATTATTTAGACTTAAAGAAATGTCTCATAAATACTGAAAATAGAACAACATGGAAATAAAATAAACCCATTTGAAGAAAACCAAAAAAACTGAAAAAGGTTAGTAACAACTTAATTTTGAAGTAAAAGCTTAAACATATATACAATTTAAGGGCATATATGAGATAATTACAAATTAAGTGCTTATTTAAATAATTTCTTATTCTGTAAATGAAATTAAATAAGTAATTACCTCTTGTCCAATCTGTGCAGAAATAAAACCCGGATTTTATAAGAAAGAACATGATAAACATTTAATCAAATCAACAGTTCAGTTTGAAAGATTGAACATTGACTTAAAAGTCCAATACCCAGTTTTTCTAGAAATCCCCATATGCTTACAATTATTGAAGAATTTTTAAGATTTACATGAGCTTTTCTAGGCTCAGATAAGGTAAATGACTAGTCATTGCCACTATAAGAAAGGTAAAGCTGAAAACCATATAAAGACAAAAAACCAATAATTGCCACAAAATTTTTCAAAATATCAATTATTGCCACCCACTCATTGCCATAAATAAATAATGACATTTTACTGAAAAATCTTCTTTATTAATAAAAACCAAAATAATGAAGCCTTTCCATGTAAAATACATTTTGATATAAAAAATAAGACAAGATAAATTGAACTATATATCTAGTGTTTTCTACAGGCTTTAGGCCTCAAGTACATCCACTGACAAAGTAAATTCATAGTGGATTAGTTCACCAATGGATAAAATAATAGGTGTTGACAGTATGCCTAAAATACAGTTTTCACTAACAAAAGATGTCTTTTTCATCACAAATAAAAACATTATTTTTAGCACTAATAAATTTCATAGACATTACCTATTTGTACATTTTTCGGAAACCGCGTTTAAAGTTTTGCATGTTTGACCTTACCTATATTTAGAGGAATATTATTGAATGTAATATGGTTTAAAGGAATGTGATAATGTTTGGCGTATTCATAATGAAATTCTCTTTTAATTCGTACATATAAATACCTGTTATCGTACATGTTTCAAAAGGTACGTCAGTTTAAAAAAAGGTTGGGGACTTAGTTCGTTTTATAATAAAAAAATAAAAATAATATGTAAATTTCGGATTACACAAAAACATGTTAATGCAATTTCCGCTTTAAAAAATATTTTTATATTCTTTTAACTTTAAGATTACATCCCTTTTGTAGTTTGAAGTAAAATGAAATATATTAAGACTTTCAGTGTTATTACTGTTTAAAAATTATTAAAAAGCAAGTGTCTTATAAAAGCTTTCGAAATGTGGCTTTATCACAGTAATCCTAAAAATACCATGGGACGGCGAAAATCACAAATATAGATGTCCCTAAAAGAATAAACCAAGAACACCAACTTTTTGAAACCATCAAGAAAAGGAAAACGGTGTATCTAGGTCACATCATGCAAAATGAAAAATACCAGTTTCTCCAACTTATAATCGAGGGTAAAATTGAAGGCAAGAGAGGAATGGGACGCAAGAAAATGTTCCTGTCTGACAAGAAATAGAGAATTAATGGAAAATGTGATCGATAACATCCATTAGTGGATTTGCATCTGAAGAAGAAGAAGTCTTACAATAATTAAAGTTTAATTCTATATAATGTTATAACATTGTTAAAACTGGCAATTTATAAAGAAAATTACTAAAAAGTTATCGAGAAGGATAATCCTTAGATAGTATAAAAATAAGTCTGATTTTAATGCAGTTTTCATCAATAATAGACAGTAATAATAAGGGAAGGTTTGTTTCTATAATCCGGGTGGGTGCTAAGTAATAAAATAAACGTAACACAAAATTAAGTTTTTAAGAAAATTAACAAAAAATAATAAAAAAGGAACTTTGTTTAATATTAAATACAATAAAATTGTCTTTGAGCTCTCTTATTATTAGCGGTCTTGTGTTACTCCTACTTATGCTGTAATAATAATACGATCACGTACATAGGAATACAATAGTAAATTAACAGGGTAATTTATATTTTTCCTATTATAAAATTGAATTATAAAAATTAGCGTAGTATAACGGGATTAATCCTTTAGTAACTAACTCCTTCATGTCTTTCTTTTTATTAGCGCTTAATTCTTTTTTTGAAGTATAAGCTTTTTTAAGTAGAATTTCACTGAGAGGTGTCATTTTTCTTCTTTTATTTCGCATGTTTACTTCCTTAAACACTTCGTCTTCATATGACGTTTTATATTTAAACGTAATTGGGTCGTCTTTAGACACCTTTAATTGTTTAATATCATTCCAGTTAACGTTTTGTCCATTAGTGTTGGTACTGAAATTATAGCCCCACTCCTCTTGTAATTCTTTCAAATTTACGAAAAAATCGAAAGACAGCTCGTGAACGGCTATTGCTGGTTGTGTCTTTTTGGCGTTTTTGATTAAGGTAATATACTGATCCGGCGTGTAGATAGGGCCAAGATTTCAAATTTTTCTTGACCTCTTTCTCTATTAGACTATGCACACTATCTGCCTCGTTTTGGGTGTGACCCATGATCAAAAATTTGTGCGTTATACTCTTAATATTTAAATTAGACACGGCATACATGTATAAGGTTGAGACAAACTTATTTCTGTTTGTCCACAACAATTATCCGAATAGAAGTTAACATTTTTCGCTTCTTCATTGTTTCATTGTCAGAGCTTATATTTATCAAATGTTTCCAAAGACACGAACCAATCTCGATTGCACCACGTTTGGCGTAACATTCTGTCCGAAAGTAGCAATGAATGTTGTCATATGCATGCTTGTCGTCTTTACTATTCAGTTCAGTTAATGTTAGGTTGTACTATTCAATTTACTTTTATAATAAAATGCTGAAGTTTCACCTCTAGGACATCTGCAAGACTGCTTCTAAATCATAAATAACTACCTTGTTTTCGTTGTTTATATTCATTCTGTCATTAAATTTCTCCTTCCTACTTAGTTCTTTTTCTTTAATATTGCTCTGATCTTTTTCATCTTCTACTGCGAAATTAGGACCATTGCGATCAATGTGTTTATATGCAGTACATTGGTCGCGCTTATCCTTTTTGGCTTGTGGAAACTTAAGTTGAACTCATTTGTAAAAATGTTATAGTAAGTTATGTAACTGCCAATTTGTTTATTTTTTTCAGTTTGTGCAGACTTAAAGTCACTATATAAATCCTTAATTGTCCTACCACCCTCGACATATTGTCTTGAACTGTTAGCCCTAACGTAGTGGCCCTCCATTCTTGGAATTGTATCAATATGTTTTCTGATATTATCTAACAATTCAGGATCCAATCTATGATTATTGCCGTGTTTTCCGCGTTTGTCAGCAACTAGGCCCATCTCATCAGTGTTGGTAATTATAGTGTAAATCATTCCATCAGTGATGTCCAACGTACTTCTGAAAAAGGTCTTACAGACTCTTATTTTGTCGCCTTGAAAATTAAAATAAAAAGCCTTATTAGACCGACGAGGTTTCTCAGCGTTTGTGTACTTATATTTTGCTTCTATGTCAACCATGCAATTGTTTATGTAGATTCTTTGCTTATTTAAATCACCTAACTTCCAGAATTTATCGAATAATTCGTATCTACCTTGAGTATCTATTTTATTTATGAATTTTAATTTACACTTGTCAGTACAAGGAGTCTTTAGACAACGGGCTGGCTTCTTCCTTTATTGCGCAGCTTTTTAACTCTATTTTGCCTCAATTTAGAAGGATGTTTTACCCTCTTACGACCTCTTTTAAGTTGTGTTGCAATGCCATTATCAGAGCTAGAAGAATCCTAGCACGATCGTATTAGCAAATTTTTTCCCCGAGAGGACTTACCAAATTTTGTTCTCAAAATTAAAAGTAGGATCACCTTCGTCATCGTCAAAGTCACTCTCATCAGTGTACATAGGAGAAATGGTTATGGGAGAATTCGTCAAACAAGATCTTTTACAAGAATTTCGTGATGTAGTGGCAGTCTGAAAGAGAAGCATTTTTTTATTAAATTTATAAATTAATAAGTTAAACAAATCTTTTTAATGTCTACACAATTAGTTAATGACATATAATTTAATCATTGAATATTAAATAGAAAATTATACAATAAATTATTCTAGAATATGACATAGTAAGTATGTACATGGGATCTGTAATCACTTTCTTGTGTGATGACATCTACATCACATTCAGCAGCTGTTGATGAAGATGATCAAAAAGATGAAGAAGAACTAGAAGACCTCGAAGAAGAGGAGGATGAAGAAGAAGTCCGTCTCGTTGTTACTGTAATTTCTTCAACTGTTTTGGCATTGTCTATCTCGTCTTCATACGAAAAACCATCACTGTCATATTCGGGTACGAGATTCGTTTGTACTTCTATTTGACTGTCAAGTAAGGTTTCATTTACCGACGCTTCAATTTCCACTGCAGTCCATGCTGTAGAATCCTGTAATTAACGGGTTTTTGGTGTAATGTAAAATCAATCTTTTTTTTACTTTTTTTTTACTTACTTGATTTCCACTAATGTACATAGGTTCTTCAGACGTCGAATCAAGGTTTCTTTTGCTTTTCAAAAACCTCGGAAGGTTGAATAGGTTCTTCATCCGTCAAATCAGGGTTTTCTTGTCTTTCAAAAACCTCGGAAGGCTGAAGTAATCCCAAAATTTTACGGAAAAAAAAGGTTAGTCTTCGTAAATGGGTATATTTGTTTAAAAAACCCTTAAAAGGGCTACATCAAAAAAACAAACGTTTTCGGACTAAACAGTCCATCATCAGGTTTAAAATTGCTAGGTTAAAATGCCTGAGCCACCAAAATACCAGGGTAAAAACCCTTTAAATTACATGTAGTTTATTAAAGATTGTACATATTGTTGTTATTAAAATGTGATGTTAAATATTAAATTGAATTTGACTTCAGGTAACATGCTTGAAGTGAGTTACAGTGTCCGGAGAGTAAACCTCTTCAAACGGACTACAGCTGGTAATTCACCTAGCAGTTTTAAACCTGATGATGGACTGTTTAGTCCGAAAACGTTTGTTTTTCTTATGTAGCCCTTTTAAGGGTTTTTTAAATAAATATACCCATTTACGAAGACTAACCTCTTTTTTGTGATATGTGGTATACAGCCAGCTACAGGAATTGTTTTCCTTGTGGAAAATTTTACGGCTTCTCCACGCCTGTTTCATCTAAAACAGAAACGAATCGAATAATGCTATTTATCATTCCCATTAAATTAAAAAGAAAGTGCATTAACTCAAATTCATATAATTTTATTTCATTTTGTTTAAAAATAAAGTAAATTAAACTTTTGAAAAACAAAGTGTGTTACGTTCTAAAACTACGGTTACGGAACCGTCTACGAGAACACCGCGAAACCACAGTCTACCTTTTAACATTGTCGGTGTAATAATACTGATTAACTGATTCATCGCATCTCGTGATTTTCGAACAAAGCGACGTGTTAGTAAAAAAAGCTTCTAACGGCTCCGATTGAAGAGCATGTTGAACTGTACCTAAGCGTTTCGTTCATTTAATTCGTTTCATGATTAAATGTCCACATCCCCATTTTTTGAGTTATTTCGGTTTATTTTTAAAGCAGCGATATCTGTATGTTATGGATTTTCTTTTGCAGCCTAGGAATTTCCCAAGTACATAGTTTTACACACTAAGTTCTGTGAGTTAGTGGGCAAAATTCTTTGTTAGGGTCTTCATAAAAGTCTAGGTCATCACAGCTGCTACTACTCTCAACCCACTCTTCATCCTCTCCATCATCATCAGAAATAGATGCTCAGCTTATAATAGGAAGAATCTAAATACCACCTAGTTCATTAGCTGAGGCATATGAATATCACTGCACCTTTCTCGAGGAACTGATAAGTCAACATCCACAAAGTTGTGTGATCTTGGCTGGCGATTACAACCTGAGAGATGCTCAATGGGCTAATGATCAAAACAGGGTTTATTTATCTACCTTACTTCCTGATGGCTCTCATGCGAATACAGCATGTGGATCTTTTGCATTTTTAAATCTGCATCAGTGCAATAATATACCAAACAGACATGGAACATTCCTGGATCTCATTTGTTCACATATACCTGATCTAAATGTGTGTACGTTGGTCAATCCATTGTTTTGTGAATCATTCAGGCATAAGTAATATGAATTTTTTTATCCCTATTGGCTATTTTAAAGCGTCGGTTTTTTATGAAGACTATGTTTATGATTTCAAAAACTGTAATTTTAATTCTGTTAACCTTTATATGTCCTTAGTTAATTGGGATACATTATACCATTGTAATAATATAAATGAGGCTTGTCAAATATTTTACAGCTATATGTATCACTGTTTAGATATTGTTGTTCCTATGAATGCTGTCAGGTGTTCCTACAAGTTCCCAATTTGGTTCTCAATAAAACTTAAAGATCTTATTATTAAAAAGAAAAAAGCTCATCTGAGGTTTAAATTATCTAAATTAAATGGGGACTACTTATTGTTCTCTAATCTGCGTGATCAATGTAAAGTTGAACATATACTTTTTCTGAAACAACATTTTTCGTCTTTTGAACAAATTTTAGTAATAGCCCCAGGGAATTTTGGGGATACATTGGCAGACTTCGTAATTTTCGAGTTAACCCCAAGAAATGTATCTCGGTGACAGAAGGACACAAGGCAGTATTGAAATCGCTAACCTTTTTGCTGAGTTCTTCTCTAGTGTATATGAGAAAGATAAAGGTGCTATCATTCCAGATTTTGAAAACTGACAGACAAATTGACCCTCTAAACCTAATTTAAGTTGACACTTTATCAGTGTTTGATGAATTAAGAAAACTTCCAAACAAATTCTCCTCAGGGCCTGATGGAATCCCCCCAGTATTATTAAAGCACTGTCCAAGCTCTCTTACTATGCCCCTAAAATATCTTTATAATTTGTCTCTTATGACTGGTGAGTTCCCTTCTTTCTGGAAGAACAGTTCTATTGTACCCATTTTTAAGTTAGGTAAAAGGGAAGATATTGAAAAATACTGAGGAATTTGTATACAGTCAGCAATCCCAAAACTTCTCGACAAGCTAGTGAGTTCTTACTTATCAAAACTAACAAATAATATAATAATACCCCAACAGCATGGCTTTCAAAGGGCAGGAGCACAGTGTCAAACTTGTTGGTCCACCAAGATGATATATTGGGTGCCTTTGAGAGGAAGTACCAGGTGGACAGCATCTATACTGACTTCTCAAAGGCATTCAATAAAATAAATCATTGTTATTTAATCAGTAAATTAGTTGCCGTTGGTATAGCTGACAAGTGGCTTGATTGGTTTGATAGTTTTTTGTGTGTAACACCCAGAGCATTCAGATAAATGGTGTGTTGTCTCAATCTGTGGTCCTCTACTTTTTGTCTTTGTTAATGATGTTGAGAAGTCAATAAGTATTCAAAATTTCTCAACTTTGCTGACGATAAAGTCATTACTTGTCAGTATGACCAAATTTAGCTACAAGAGGATCTCAGCAGATTTAGCGATTGGTGCAAACTAAATGAATTAAAATTGAACATTGATAAGTGTTGTGTTATTACTTTTCACAGGAAGCAAACAATTTTAAATTACGATTATAGCATTGATAACACTCAGCTTTCTAGGCAGGACTGTGTTAAGGAGTTAGGTGTTTATTTTGATTGTAAATTAGCATTTCATAAGCATCTAGAGGTCACAGTAAACAGTGCATTTAAATAATTGGGGTTTATAACTAGAAACACTTCTCAATTTTCATGTTTTGTTTTACCAATTCTTTTAATAGTCTCATTCGCTCCAGACTAGAATATGCAATAGTTGTATGGGGACCTTACTATCAAACATCTATAGACAAGCTGGATCGTGTTCAGCATAAATTTGGTAAACACTATCAAGTTAATTATTATATATTTTATGGCTAAACACCCCGTACGGGGTTACGCCGCTTATGCTCTCCAGATCTATTTTACGAGGTAGATCAGTCCTCATTTTCTTTATTTAATTTTTCTTGTTATTTTTCTCCACTGTTTCCTATCTCTGGTTTTTTCTCTCCATTGTCGTACGCCCGCCCTGTTGAGATCGTTTGTTACTTCTTTTAGCGATGTAGATTTTGGTCTTCCACGTCTTCGTTTACCAGCTGGTGTCCATTCCAATATTGAGAATATTGTCGTAGATGGTCCTGATCTCCATATATGTCCTAGCCATTTTGCCCTTTGCTGTTTTATTTTACAAACTATATCCTCTTTAATTTCGTTTAGTAGTTCATGATTCGTTCTTTGTCTATATTGGTTTTCATTAATTTTTATTGGTCCTAATATTGCTCTTAGTATTTTCCTTTCTAGTATTCTAAGGTCTTCCTCTTGTTTTTTTGTCATGCTAAGGGTTTCGGCAGCATACATCATAGTCGGTCGAATTATTGTTTTATATATTTTCATTTTCGATTTTTTGCTCAGTAATTTATTTTTTAGAAGTTTTTTATTTGCATAGTATGTCTTATTTGCTGCAATTATCCTTTCTTTAATTTCTGTTTCCCTTTCTCCATTGTTTGCTAATAATATTCCCAAATACTTAAACTTTTCTACGTCTTCAAATATATATTCTCCCAGTCTAACCTTTTTGTTTTCATATTTTTTGTCAAATCTCATTATTTTTGTTTTTTCTTGATTTATTACTAATCCCATTACTTTCCCTTCTGCTACCAATTCTTTTAACATAGTTTCCATTTTTTTTCTGTTCTTTGTTATTATCACAATATCGTCGGCATATGCTATTATTTGTCCCTCTCTCGTTCTAAGTGTACCTTTGTTGATTTTTCTGACTATATATTCCAGGGCAAGATTAAACAGAGTTGCAGATAATGAATCTTCTTGACGTACACCTTTATTTATAACAAATTCTTCTGTGTCTCCTTGTGTTTTTACAGTTACTACGGTTTTGATCATTGTCATTTTTATTAATCGTCTTAATTTGTTGTGTATTCTCATTTCTCTCATAGCTGTAAGTAATTTCGCTCTGTTTATTGAATCAAATGCTTGTTGGAAGTCTATAAAAAGCAGTTCAATTTCTATTTTATATCCATAAGCTTTCTCCATAATTTGCTTTACCGTATGTATGGCATCTGTTGTTGACTTTTCCCCTAATAAATCCGCATTGATACTGTCCCATGATATTTGTTGTCGCTTTGGCCAGTCTTCGTTGTATTAAAGTTGACATGATTTTTATACGCTGTGTTTAATAATGTCAGTCCTCTATAATTATTACACATTTGTTGGTCTCCTTTTTTATGGATTGTGATAATTTGTCCTTTGTGCCATTCTTCTGGCATCTTTTCTTCGTCCCATATGACTTTTATTAATTGGTATATTTTTTCTCTGAGTTCATGTCCACCATATTTTATTAGTTCCATGTTTATACCGTCTATACCTGGTGCTTTAACCGTTGCGACTACTGTTTATAATTTCCTCAACTTCATCTCTCGTTGGTTTTTCTACCTCGGTTTCTATCATCGTGGTCTCTTCTTCCACATTTTCATTTAAGTCTTCGTCCTGTTGTACTGTTAATAATTCTTTAAAATAATCAGTCCAGATTTCTTT